CGAGTCAGAAACTGCCAGGCACTCAGGAATCATGGAACTGGGGAATAGTTTGGGTGGGAAGGCACCTTAAAGATCATCTCATCCCACCCCTACCATGGGCAGGGACACCTCCCACTATCCCAGGTGGCTCCCAGCCCCAATGTCCAGCCAGGCCTTGGACACTGCCAGGGATCCAGGGGCAGCCACAGCTTCTCTGGGCACCCTGTGCCAGGGCCTCCCCACCCTCCCAGGGAACAATTTCTTCCCCAAATCCCATCTAAAGCTGGCCTCCTCCATCTTGAGGCCRTTGCCCCTTGTCCTGACACCCCAGACCCTTGTGAGCAGTCCCTGTCCAGCCTCCTTTCAGCATTCCCGTTTGGGCAGCTCCCTGTCCCCCGCGGGCACAGCTCCGCTCCTTGGTGCCGGCGGGCTGGGCATGGAGCCGAACTCCCTGCTCCCTCCCGGGCACTGCATTCCAGATTTGCACTCAGGAGCTGATTCCAAGCCTGCAGAGCTGTCTGTGCCCCCTGGGATTCCCTGGAGCTGGGCACTTGGCCCCATACTGGCTGCCAGCCTGCACTGAACATCCTGCTCCAGCCACGTCCGCACAACGGCTGGCCAGGGGCTGCTGACCACTCACCAGCTCTGACCCCTGGGCCACACAGGGCCAGGCTCTGCCCTGCCTCACATTCCCCCCTGCAAAGTCACAGGAGCACGTTTGGAACAGTTCCTCACTCCCTGACAGCCCAGACAGCAAAAGCTGCCTTCTCACGCTCCTGCAAAGGGACCACAGGGCTCTGTCAGGAGAATCCAGGGAACTGCTCTTTGTACCTCCAGATGTCTCCTCATGATCCAGGAGCTCTGAGATTGCTTTCAAGGCCTTTTAAGAGCATGGTTTTGAGTTAGCTTCTATTGCCACAGGCAATTTCCTGATTCCTACTGTTCCGTCTTTAATTTCTAATTGTTGTTCTAAGTTTTCTGTTAATTTACTAATTTGCCTGTAACTTATTACTGTACTCTGTAAAGAGAACAATTTATCATAATGCCTCATATTGATTTTATTATGCAGATATTAGAATCCATTTATTAGAAATAATAAATATGAAAGCATAGTGTGAAAAAAGGAAGCTGGATATGCATGCMCTTGATGGTAGGTAAGGATTACTACAGACCACTCAAAAGGCATCATGGTTGAAAGGATGATTTAAGTTCTACAGCACTTAAAAAAATTATTAAAAAGTGCAGGAAACTTTGCCAAACAAGCCAAACTACCTCCTGTAATCTGCACAGGAATGTTACTTTATGTATGCTTCAAATGCAGTTAGGTCACAACTTTTTTAGGAATTAACAGAGTAAGAGAAGGTAATTGATTAGTCCTGTAAATTATTTCCTGAGGAAGGTTTGCCATTTTCCACTCTTCCTGAACCCCAAGACAAGAATTTGCTCATCCTTGACCTATCCCATACCCATACCCATGTTCTGTGTTAAACAGCTGAGGCTGAATTACACTAATYATCACTAGCTTCAGCATCAGAAATAAATAAATAAATCTGAAAAAGGAAGCATATAGATCTCCTTCATGTGCCAGACCACGACAATGGGGAATATGGACCAAAACTCTGAAGCAAGTTTAAAATGACATCCCAGTTATTTTAGGGTTTGAAGGGCAGATTTGCTTTTTGGAAAGGAAGTTTAGTTTCAGGATGAGACTCCTGAGACATTTTGTGCCCATTTCTGCTCAAGGACTATTGAACCAGCATAGCCAGTTGTACTGAGAGCAACCAAAAAAGCAACAACCTCCACCTCCATCATGTGTCCCTGAGGCCCAGAGCTTCAGCAGCAGCTCTGTTGCTCACCTGCAGGATTTTGGAGATTGTTTGGGATTGTCCCAGCCCTCAGGAGCCCCAGGGATGGTTCATTACTGTCCTGAGCTGTACATGGAGCAAACATTGCACCCCTTCCTTCCCTCAGAGATGTGCYCAGGCACAGCAGGTGCTCTGGCTGCAGTGGTAGGGCCCGTTCTGAGCTTCTGGAACTGCTCCATGTGCTCAGAGAGCCCCAGGCACAGCCACGCTTCCCGGCAGGGCTGGTCACACCCGTGCCACCTGATGTCAACGGGCCAGAGGTTTGGGCGAGTGCCTCTTTGGTGCTGCGTGAAGCARAACCGTCCCACCTCACCTGAACCGCTGCCGTGTCACCTCCTGGGGGGAGGCAAAGCCCCGTGGGTGTTTGCTGGAGGAGCCTGAAGTGTGCAGGGTGTGGCAGCTCTCCCAAACCCTCTGGCTGTGGCACATCTGTCCCTGTTGCTCCCTGCACAGGGCAGGGGTTTGCACAGCTCCATCAGCACTGACAATGCCTTCCATCAGGGATGTSATGAACAGCTGCAGACCCTAATATKGAATGTGGCCTTTCTGCTGCCTCTTAATGGCACTGTCCTCTGCTGGGAGGTTTCCCCACCCAAAAAGGGTCTGCTTTAAGCCTTGAMTTTATTCTCATCAATACTTGCTCCCCTCTATTCACACCTGTCGGCTGTGGCCCTTCTGTCCCTGGTGCTGGGTGTACTYCAGGGCTGGGTAATGCTTTATTCCACTGGGAGCTGAAAATGCCTTGGGGCAGCTGCTCCCGCCACCCCAAATGCCCTGTAGGTGCTGAGGGCTGCCTGCTGCTGCCAGCTCTTCCCTCGGCAGCCACCCTTTCCTCTCTACCGGCTCTCCCCTTTCCATCCTTTCTCCCTCTCCATTCCCTTTTCCCTCTCCATTCCCTTTTCCCTCTCCATTCCCTTTTCCCTCTCCATCCTCTCTCCTCTCTCCCCGCTCCGCTCTCCGGGGCTGCAGTTCCGGTCTTGCCCGCCAGGTGCCGCTCTGACAAAGAGGTTGCGGCGGGCGCTGCCCGCGA